ACAACAATTCGTAAATTCGGTGCAAGATTGAATTCATCGAATTCAAACAGTGCATGACAAAGTATTTATGCGCTATACGAGAAGCATTTTTCACTTTGACGATAGAAAAAAGAGTTATGACTTTCGCAACAACCTAATAAAATGCAAGTTTACGCTTATTTAGCAAAGTATTTCATTTGTATTTTCGAGTTCTTTGCATTAAGCGTAAGCGCATTTCTTGGCGAAACACTTCTACCATCGTGCTCGATCATCTTCAACTTTGTTTTTCCTTTCTATTTTCACGCAGAGAAATCGGTAATATCTCCGCCGTCATAAATGTTTAAAGATTAGCTTTTCGTCCCTCATCATTGCATTACATACATAATAATTATGTTGGGGCGAAGGCGTTTGCATCCTATTCAAGTTATCTCAAGCGTGTCTTAACTCAAGTGTGTTACGATGAAAAAACACAAAAGACTCGATAAAACGAGTAATAGGTAAGAAACAAAGATTCTCTTTTCCATCTTATTAAGCTCGATGCTGTACACTTTAAATCAAGGAAGATTGCCGTAAAGCATTTCTCTCTGGCAGATCAAAATAGAGAAGAAAAGAAAAAAATTGATATCGTCAGCATAAGGAAAGTCAATAACGTATGGGTCAAATGAGAGGAGAAGTTTTCATTTTTATTTTGTCCTCATTTCATTAATACCTTGGAAGCCTTCTTCTTAGTTCACATTTTAAGGGAAACCTAAAGCGGACGCTGGACGCATATGCTCTACATTTTAAATTTGAAGGAAGAAGGTTTGGAAGAGCGGATGGGCCGCATGCAAGATATGCATAAGCAAAGACTTAAATCGTGGAAATTATCTTTAGTTTATAATAAATGAAATATTTTTTTTTTTTTATTATTTATGCGTCATAAGGTAGAAAGAAATTTGTTTGCAGATAACGTAAATTTTATTTGTTTTGTTAATTTTATGGTTTCTTGGACATAAATTTTATATTTTTATTTTCATTTTTCTAGGTATTTAATTTTAATGAAATGATCGCTTCGCTTATGGAAAATGTACATTATTTGCGTTGTGTCGATATGTGCCGCCGTCCGGTTGTTATATTTGTATAATACATATTATATAGACCATCGTCGCGTATGCGAAATGTTAAATTCAAATCTTTCAATATGGATGACAGTGTGTCGCCGTCGTTATATTTTATTATGCCTTTATCGTTTGGTTGGTTGAGTGTGTGTGTGTGTCTCTCTAAAAAGAGGTAAATGAAGCATTTGCCCTGTTTAGTACTTGTATCTATGCATGGAACGGTTGAATGTAATGTGTAACGGTAGTGTAATTAAAGGTGTGGCTGTTAAATGTAAATGCAAATGTTATGAGCGTAACAGCTTGCCAGCACATTGTAAATACATGTGAATACATTTTGTGTATAACCCACGGCATAGTTGTTCGTTGCCTGAACATGTATCTTATGGATTTTAAGTTGATTGTATTTTTCCCTTTCATTTTATTTTTTTACTTTTCTTCTTTTTTTTTTTTTTTTGTCTTACTTTCCGTTTTTTCTCTGTATATCATGGATATCCGTTAGCATAATGTTGTTGTATTTAACAATTTTCTACTACTTTGTTTTTATATCCACACACTACCATTTATTTACAATTGCGCATCAACCGACACAAATCTACTAACGAAGTTATACGGTTTGTACCATCTTTACACAAACACTACCCGACTCTAATCGAATGTGCAATTTACACATGTAAACTGAATGTCCGTACCTCTGTTTTTTTTTTTTTCAATTTTTTTTTTTTCTGGGTTTGAAGACAAAGCAGAGCTGAAATAGTATTGAGACTAATTGATCAAATTCTTTATTTTTCAATGCAGTCCCAGCAGTTCAGACATGTCTAGAATAATTGAAGAGCTTAAGATACGAGGAGAGGATACGAAAAAATTGCATATGTTTGCTTTTCATCTACGTACGTACATGTACATCGCCCTCTCACTGACGGGCGGGCAGTCAGTGAGAGAGAAATTGAAAAATTATTTCTTACATTTATCCGAATTTTCCTCTTCTTCTAATGATGGATGAGTCCTACTTATGCATACATGTGTCAAGAACTTCGGGAGATGCAGTAAGCTTCACATGACCTGATAGTTCGTTGAAATGTTGTCGATAGGTGAACAAGATTCGTTGTGAAGCAATAATGATTTATTTATTTAAAACGTTTCTTTTTGTCAACTTTTTCTATTCATGTTGTTACGGGTTTTTGTTAACTGAAATCCTGTGTTTTCTTTGAAGCTCTTCCACTATCGATTTTTCTCATACATATTTTCTACATTATTATTATTATTATTATTATTATTATTATTTTCATTATTTCGTTGCGATTATTATCTACTTTCAATTTAATTCATTCCATGTACAAATACACTCGCAATGACTCTTTCAATTAACTGTTATGTGAATGCCCTATGAGGGAACGAATTAATGGAAATTATTTGAAAGTTTGAAAAGTAAGTTAGGCTGTGGTCTTCGGCTCCTAATTAACGCAACAAAATAAATATCGGAGTTTGTGAGACAAATAGTTGCGCGCACGCATTTGTTTATTTGCATTTTCTTTTATACTTAAATTAACGTACATGTCTTTTTTCCTTAAGCCAATTAAATACATTATTTATTAATTAATTATTACTATATTTTCTATATAAATGCTATAATATATGTGTATGAGTGCGAATGCCAGCTAGTAGCATATAATTATTCTTACATATATAAATGTACTGTCGTTATTATTATACTCGTCACTGTCGATCGAAACATTTTTGGCGAAACATTTTCTGTTGTTGTTGTATTTGCTGTTGTCTGCTATTTTTTTTCTGAGTGTAACAAACCTGCTCGAACAACCAGCCTGGATTGATTAGGTAAAGAAAAGGTAGTGAAGTCGCGTACTCGCCGCCCAGATTTTCGTTCATTTGCCTTCAGTTAAAATTAGAGAAAGCAGCTGGTTTTTAAAGACCGCTTCCACTATTTTGATCATATTAAGAATTTAACTCATCTAGCTGAGGCTAAGGATATCATCTTTGATTTGTTCAAAAACGTCATAGCACACTCAAAGCTCAATCGAAATGCAGCGTAAATGCTTTAAACGTTTTTAAGCGTTTATTGTTATATACCTTTTTCGAAATGCGTTCATTGCCCATAAACGTAGTATATGTGCCTGCCCAGCAAAGCTCTTCGTGTGTGTATGGAAAACCACTATCGATCGATCGATCGATGCTACCATTTAACACATTATCCTATCCACCTTTAGTATTGATCAATATTGATATTAGATTCTTCAAGAGCTTGTTGGTCTTTTGAAAGAGTCTCTTGCTTGGTGCTTCTAACAGCGAGTATAAAAATCGAGTTCGACCTTTTGTGCCGAATCATGCATGCACTTTTACATTTATTTATTTATTTATTTATTTATAGATAGATGATATTATATTTTTATTATATTATACATTTACAAAACTTACATTTACATACACATTTAATTCGTTATTGTTTGAGGAAAGTCTTTCTTTATACACAATTTCTATGAATTATTATTTGCTTTCATATATTTCCGATTAATTCCTATTCTATTCGAAATGAGTTGGAGTGTTAGCGAAGACATTGACAAGAGTTTCTGATATGATTTTGCATACATCGATCTCACTTTCTTTCTCGTCCTTCACTAGTCAGGCAAAACTCACATCGCACATTTTTTGCATTTATTATATTTATTTATTATTTCCTTTCTTTGTTTTTTTTTTCATTCTAGTTTACCTACGTTATAAAAAATTTGCAAATATATTAGACATAATGTGTTCTATTTTTATATTATTATTATTATTATTATTATTATATAGTTTGCATATTTTTATTATTTTCCTTTCGTATGTATCTTTTTAGTTATGTCCACCAGAGATAATATAAGTTTGATATAAATTTTACATATACATTAATAATAATATTTATCTTCATATCAATCAGTTTTTACACAAGCTACACTCAATTTATTTGTAAGTATACTTTTAAAGAAATTCATTCATTTTTCACTTATTTCTCTACATTTCTTTATACCCATCACAGAAAGATATATGAATTGTGCATAATTCAATTCAAATACGATACAATCATCATATTACGAACGAGATAACAAATATATTCAAATTGATCTGATTAAGATTGCATTTCTCTTGATTTTAGCACGAAAATAAATATATTGTAGACAGACAGTCAGATAGAGAGAAATAGAGAAAGACAGAGAGAGAGAGAGAGAGAGAGATGGGAAAGAAATTCTGCCAAACTTCGATTGCGTTCGTTTACTAATAAATTTGAAAGCGTTATAGCAAAGTTAAACACTAACATACGATATTTAAAATGAATTGAAAAAAAAATTAAAAAATTAAAAAAATTAATAAATAAAAGTAATAATTAAGAATATCTCTGATGATGGGGTTACAAATATTCGTCCTACGCCGAACATTATCATTCCTTTCTTTTCTTGATTATTTTCATTTCATTTTTGTTTTCTTAGTTTTGTTGTAGTGAGAAAGCTCAACAGAGAAAATATATACCAAATATTTTATTTTATATATTTTATAATAAAATAATTTAGACACCTTTTATACCAAATATCATATAATTAAATAATATTCTTAGACATCATTATTTTATACCCACCACCCAACACCGCCTTATGTTCCATTTAGTAATGTAGCTTGTCTAATCTCGGAAACAAGCATCAGAGAATCTAGAAACTATATATAGAGTATTGCGAATCAGTAACAATTCTATTCGTCAGCGTAATTTCTTGTAAGTAAATATAATCCGGGTGGTCCCCGGGACACTGGAAATTCTCCAGAGAATAGAGAAAAAT